TCGTAATTCTGGAAAGTTTCGCGCTTTTGAAATCCAATTAAGAAGGGAGAATTGGCACTCGCAACCCATATAGAACATGTACTATACATATATAGTACATGTACTATATATTCTTCGCAGCGGTACAAGGTCGCGGAATCGATGGCCGCAAATTAATCCGGGAAAATCCCATCTCCTTCCCGGTAGATTAATATTCGTATCCGCTTGTAATGCCGCAAATGATACCCTAGTCACCACCACCTAGCATTAGGGATATGCGGTTTTTGAGAATATGCGTAATAATGCGTGGATATGCTTCGTATCAAACATACGAAGCATATCAGAAGTCGCTTACCGATTCTCAAAAAAATTTAATTAAATATTACAATACTAATTATTAGTACTACAGGGTGCGTCAGCTAAATCCGGACAAAACAAAAATTTGTTTTACTGCTATATTACTGCTATATTTTCTGTATACATGTATATTTTAATTCTCGAAATGTTTCATGTATTATATATAAAATTATCCAAAATCATATAACATCATATAACATTATATTTATATTTACGTGTAAAATTATAAATAGAATTCTATCTCCAATTCTGTCGCAAATTAAAAAAAATGAACTAAATATTTAAATATGTTTCTCATATGATTTCAATTTATACGAAAAAAGACAACAAAATAACAAAAATTTGTTTTGTCCGGATAAACACTCTTTAGAATCAGTAAAAACCAGCCATTCCTTTATATGTGTTAAATTCTAATTTAATTTTGTCCGGATTTGGCTGACGCACCCTGAAATATTAACATATCAATGTTAGTACTAAAAAAAGTTAACAGAAAAAAATTATAAGAACGAAAGCGCGGATGTTGAGGCGCAAAAAAATTTATTTTAATTGTTAATAATTGATAATATAATAAATATTAGTTGCGCCTTGACACCCTTTGACGCTTTGGTTTTTATAACCTTTTTCTATTAACATTTGTTGTTGTTATAAAATCATGTACTAATGCTAATAATATGCAGGGTATTCCAAACTAACCGTATCATCAGTTCATAACAGATTTCTGAAGTTATTTTGAGACTAAAATTCTTATATTAAAATGTCGAAGCTACAGTAATTTTTAAAATGTTTAAAATAGATGTTTAAAATAGAATG